GGACTAGTGTTGTCCGAAAGCTCTGGTTCTATTTCTGGCTGTTTACTTACGTTTACTTTTTAGCTGTTGCTTATCATTTTTGTATCTCTACTGAGATCCAGCCATTGTTTCCCACAGCATTGTTGTTTTTCAGTATTTTGCCTTTTAATCTACATATATATATATATATATATTTAATACATTATATAATATTATTATATTTTTAATACATTTTTTTGCCTAGTGTTTGCGAAGAAGCATTGAGGTATTTCTTGACTTTAGAATCTGAGAGCCATCGAGACACGTGGAAGTCGCTCATTGTTCTACTTCTCACAAAGATGCTGAAAATGAATGAACAACGAGTGAGTATTTCTACCTCAAACAAATGAACATTTTTTCCAAAATGCTAGGCAAGACTTTTTATACATTGTTTTGCAAACCTGCCAAAACCCGATTATTTTGAATGAAGAAAGTGTATGTAATGTATAGTCATTTAGAGCAGACATTGCTACAGGAAATTAGAAACTTCAGGGGAAAATATTTTTTATTTGCCATGAGTTCTCATGATACCATTAATTTTTTTCTCATAATTATATAAATAGATTTACATAGCCACATCACATTCTTTCTACTAAATGCGATATGATTCTATCAAGGCCCTAAGGGCTCCTCAATTACTTTTGACCTTAAACACTCACATTTTTTTTATTTCTATTAACTTTTTTTTATTTTCTCCTCCATCTAGATTTTTTTTTTTTTTTTTTGTAATAAGAAAATAATGACCTTCATTAAATTCCCTAATGGGTTCTCATGTGACATTTGACTGAATATTCGTAAGATGACAGGGGACTGAGACAAAAATTGAAAAAATATAATTGAATGGGCAGATTTTTATTAAAAAGAACAAGGTTGAAACTAATTGATGTGACAAAACCTATGTTGTAAAAGATAGGATGTCTTTAATTTAATGATCCTTTTGAAACAAAAGACATTACTGCACTGACATTATTCAATCATCTTTTCCCCCTTTATTCTCTCATTTTGACTTTTTAACTATTGTATTGTATTGCAATTCTGTAATTAATGTTTATTTATTTTTTTAAATACCCACTAGCAAGTAGACTTATCAATTACTGGACAGCATTAATGTTATTATGATCCTTTTTGAAACATGTTTTGAAACAAGAAACATTACTGCAGTGATGTGATTCTATCATCTTTTCTCTCCTTTATTCTCTCATTTTGTCGTCAGTAAATATTGTGTGGCTCTTGCAATTCCATCACTGATTTGTAATTATTTTATTCACCACACCCACCAGCAGGTAGGCTTCTCAATTACAGGATGGCACTAATGTCATAAATAAATGAATAGTATTGTTCTCTATTAAGAGCTCAGTTGTTTGTTAGTTGTGAAAATAATCATACATTAAGCAGCACACCTTCTTAGGCCTTGGTGGTAGCCACTATGTGTAGGCCTTAAACTGTGGTGATCCTTCTAGCCTTTAGTACATGGTTAGGTTCCATTGCTTTTCCTGTTTCAGCTGCTGGGCTAAAAAGCAATTAAAGTGTGCTATTTATTTTACATTGGCCGTGTTCTACTGAATATTGAGAAAGAAAGAGTTATCTTATCATTGGTTGATTATCGGATTAGCAAGATAAGAACCGCGTTGCAACTGCATTTTCACTCCACATAAAACTGTTACAAGACTGATGTCTACATTAACATGACGTAACAATCACCCAGAATGCAATTTAAAATGACCTTTATAATAAAAGCTAAAGTATTTTCACGCAACTACCAAGATACAAACAATGATGATTCGTCCTATCTGGCGAATACAATGTCGGTATTCAAATAAAACAATGGTTAAACTTTTGTTCTCACAGTACATAACAAAAGAGAATAATTTATTGTGTTGTGAACAGAAGCTTAATATGTGTTTTACTGATTTTACCAGGACTACCAGTGATTGGCCTACAATGGAGGTATTATGTTCACTATAATATCTCTATGGGCCTACTAAAACTGTATCACTGGATAAACTGGTGGGTCACTCCGATAATTTGTATCACTGTTAAAGAACTTGTGAATTTTTCCAAAGGTAAAATCATTTAGGGGCCTAAATTATTGATATGAAAATTATTTTACAAAGTCTGATAAAAAGTAACTCCCATTTATGTCATTTTTGACAATTCTAAACTTAGACCTAGCCTAGTGGCAAAGTTGACCTTAGGTCAAATTAGGCTGCTATTTATGTTGCAGCTAAAAACTACCTTACGAAGAATGGTTATTTTGTTCAAAGAACGGTTATTTGGCATTTCCGGCACGGTATTGATTCTGTGCCGAAGACCTGTTCTTTGGAAAAAAAGAATGGTTCTTTTTTGTGGACCCCGTTTCTACTGCCGCAAAGAACCGTTTTTAAAAAGAACAGTTCTTTCTTTTCAGAAGAAATAGGCTCATTGAGTGTTAAGCTATTCGTCCTGTGTGCAGTAGAGCCATATTTTTTCACATTGAGAATGCAGAACACTTTTTGAAAAGAATAGCAAATTGTCTCCTGGTGTACTGCCCTCTATTTACCAACATGAGGATCCCAACATAAATTAATATTTATATAATATCCTTGGCATGTTTCACATAAAGACCAGTGAGATGTATTTTTACTCTTTAATAATCAATTTACTTGGAAATAAAATCATTTATTACTTTTTCTTACAGTTTAAAGTTCATGCATCAAATCACTACACTAGCCTCTGTGAGGTCATGCTGTTTGACCTTAAGTGGGAGCAGCGTGCCATCCTTCGTTCTTTCTTCCTTCGAACGGGAGAAGTATTCAACGTGATCTGTGAATCCTAGCAGGGGAGGGCGGACAATGTGCACAGCATCAATGAAAATATAATAATTATACCATCAATGATTTTATTAATTAACACCATTAAATTATGCAAGACAAAATGCAGGTGACATTAATATAAATTCTTAAGCTAAATAGGTCACTTATTAGAATATATTTAAAAAATAAATGAATTATTAATAGATAAATGTATTTGTAATTTTTATGTATGTAAGTGGGGCAATAGTGTGTAAACCATGCATTGAGAGTGAATACTTTACTTAAACTGTGGGCTTAACAAGCTCACAAATGTGCACCTTGGGAGCTATAATTATAAGCACCCACTATTCAATGGGATGGTCCTACATGTCTGCATCAACTATCAAATGGTAATAAGCCAATTTGTAGTTACTGTAGAACTGTCATGCTAGTATCGAGATCAATCGACATAAACACCATACACACAACATAGGTTTATGTTCATTGACCTTGGATACCGTACGAGCATGTGTAGTCCTAACTATGAATTGGCTTATTGATCTACATTATACCACCTCCTGCCTTACAGCAAACACAAGATTATAAGCTCAGGATGTTTCACTTTTATCATAGGCATTGGATGAATGCAGATTCACATATATTATGATGTAAAACTTTTGAGACTGTCCCTGTAAAATTTAGAAAGTCTTGCTGATAATGAATTAATTACCTTGATAAATTAGCTGCGAAATGCAGCACTAAACTATGAATTTCTATGAAACACTCTGAATTTCATTTTATATAAAGAACAAAATTTAACTTTCATTGTTAGTTAAAAATATAAAGAGTTGAAAAATGGTTTTAGAGTAAAACCCGGTTTCCATTTGCAGTGTCGTCGACAGCTCTCTGAGTTAACATAATGTAGCAATTGTATGGAAACCAAACTAATCAAAAGGACTAAACTAAGACCGTTGATGGTGTCTAGAAACCACATGAACAGGTTATTTGACAACCATGATTGGTACAAGTTCCTTAGTATTACTAACTTTAACTTCAACCATTGCAATTATAACCATGATAATACTGTAATGCAGTAAAAATGCTATACCAAAGGTACTATTACTGGTAATACCATTGATTGTATAGTGTTTTGTAACTCTTGGTTTAATATTTAGCACCAGGGCATTTATTTAATGGTAAAATATAAACCAAAAAATACCATAGCTGGTAAAACCATTCCTGGTAAAGTGCATAGCAGAAACTACTGTTACTGGTTACTGGTAGAATAATGGCAATTCCTGGTAAAATGAGTAAATGTCAATGGTAGAATTAGCACCATCTGTAGTGAAGTAACCATGATCCAATAATATAACTGCGCAATACAGGACTTTGTACTTGACATAGATATCTAGGACAAATTGAGGGGATAGCTGCGGGTAAAAATTAGCTTTTTTCTGTGTATGTGTAAATAGTCAGATACAGATGTGGAAACGTTTATGCTTTTTTTATTTGTATGATTTAGTCATATAATCATTATTCAAATTAGCCACATGGTTATTATTCAAATTAGTTATGTAAATCCTAAATTTTTACCTGAAATCGTCTCTTAATTCTTTCTATTGATTTCAAAATTTCTGTATTCATCGGTCAGATCATGATAAGCACTCCAACCCCCATGAAAAGAATATCTTTTAAGACATGAGTAATTCCTTTACACCTGCATCTTAAGGGAGGAAAGTGAACACTTGCCCTGGTGTCCCAAAGGTCACAGAGCATGTGCAATTCCTTTCATGTTATGTATGTTCTTTGTGATTTTCATTTTAGGAGGTAGTTTAAGGGACCATGCATCTTTGTGAAGGGAAAGTGGCTTTAATGAAGCAACTAGTCCGCTCGGGCTTGTGGAGACCAACGGGCCAGTAGCCGAGACCAGTAGAACTGTGCTAGAGTTATTCAGTAGTGATAACATGTATCTTAAGGGATTTTATTTTCACAAGGGAAAAAATATATGAGAAATGAAATATAACAATTCAGAAGGAAACATTAAATAGAGGAAATTATCAACTCGATTTTTTTTGTTTGATTGTTGTTTCAAGAAGTTTTAAAAGCAAATAGCTACCAAGAGAGGATGTATAACATCCTCAAAAACCAAGGACATATTATATTAGGATATGTGCAGGCTAAGTTTGCTTGAATAAACTTACTCCGTGGCTTCGGTCTTCTAACCAAGGGGAATGTGTGTTCACACTGGGTTGTATTTAATCAAACTTACTGAGTATGTAGTTAATTTGACCCGAAGGTGTCAAATTCCAACTGGGCTTTATTTAGATTACTACTAAGCACATTATACATATATAGAGAATATGAAGTTGTGCCATAAAAAGAAAAAAAAAACATTTGGAAATGAAAAAGTGGAAAAAATGTACACTAGATATGACCTCTCAGCTGTTTTTTAGTAATCTATTGTCCTGATTATTCCATCAGTGATTGAAGTTGTTACATTTATAAGGAAAGCTATGATCAGCTTTCTGAAAGATAAAAAATATTTACTATGATGCAAACAACCTACACGCTACTACTATTATCATTATTATTATTATTGCAGTAGTAGAGTAGAGTATGCTCTATTTCGATCGCAACATACAATACGTCATCAAAATATTTATTATATGAATTACTGTGCCTGTGGCTAGTAGTAAGTATGGCCATGTATGTTTTTCGATCAATAATAACATCTAAGAAATGATAACCAGCATTCGATTAATCGGTGGTTTGTTGCCTGCATGATAGAAACGACTAGAATTTTATATTTTTTCACCGTTCTAATATCTTTCTGCCAATCCTACGTTTAATACCACACAACTTGACAAATCAATAATAATAGATGATAATAAGTGGAATTCTTTCATTGTAGCACTTTGCCTCCAATCCATTCTTTTCATTATATTTCTTGAGCCTATTTGATGAGTTTCTATGGCAACATAAACTATGAGAAGAGAAATAAAACTTATAACCACATGAGGGATTAGTTTGGTTATGTAAATTAAGTCTAAACAAATGTGGATTAACAACTTGATGTAGACCTTAACAAAAATAATGAGTTATTTGATATTTCCTTTTCAAGATTATGCTTTAAAGATATTACCTGTTTGATTCAAATTCAGAATTTATGTCCCCCTGTTTTGCAACTAAATTTTAAAATTTCAGTGCATATATTGAAATTAGCACAACTCGCTTATCTATTCTGAATATGTTGTGCCCCCACCCGTTTGAAAAATTCTAGATCCGCTTCTGCAATCGCTCATGTCAAAACATAAATATACAATTCAAACACAACTATAAATATCAATACTGTAATACATAACAATGTCAAAGATTAAAAACAGTCAATTTTTTCATATATTTATATAGGCCTACATAAGTTAACATTTATACACAAGTTGTATATTGTTGAAGCTAGTTTTATAGATAATAGCTGTTTGCAGCTATCATTGTAGGCACGAATGTAGTAGGAGTTTGTGCTAAAATCTTGTAAAAAAACTCAAAATTCAATGAAATTATTTAAATGGATCTAATGTGTCATCAAATTCCAAAACTTAGTAAAAAAAATTAGTTTTCACTTATGTATTTCATTCAAATTTATTAATTTCTTTAATACCTTTATATGAGCAATTTAATTTATTAAATTCTTTGGGATTTTTTCATAATTCACCACAGATTGTATGTATTAAAATATCAGGATTCAAAGCATCAATACCACAAAATATTGTTAATTTTAGCTTTTTTCCTTTCTGAACAGCGAAGTTAAATTTGTTTCGTCTTTTTTCTTGCATCTTTGTTCTCAAATTAATCAATCTTGATGAATGTACTATTGACAATATGGTGTATTTATACAGTATATCAAATGTTTAATAATAGAAATATTATGTGTTATACACCATGTACATGTATATCTCAAAACTATAATTAGATTGTTCTGTTTGTATTCAGGAGAATGAAAGTGTTCATAGAAACTATTTATATTGCAGTGCTTTTGTTTTTAATGCAACAACCAGTTTTGCAAAGAAAATTTATAAATGTAAAATAATCTACCGGTATAAATGTAGTTCTAACCAACAAGAAAACCAATTTCATGTTCGTCATTATTATTATTAATATTATCATCATTATTATTATCATTATTATATGCTATATATTTTTATATTATTATATTATACTGTATTATCATTACAATCATTATTATTATTGTATTAAGATTATCTTCATTAATTATATTAGGTTGAGGAATGATCCTTTCCCCAATAAATCATGTTATTACTTATTAATTTTTCCCCACCTACGTCATGAACATTGTATTTAAGAGCAATTAATTTATGGGTGAAAGAATACTGGGTTAAATTAGATATGCTTATTACATGCTAGACAAGGTTGGAATTTCCTCATTGATTAATGGATTTAGAAACAATAGTCAACATGGCAACAATATGAATTCATAATTAAATTATATAACCTGTGCATGAATAATTAATATTAGATGTAATAGGCAAATCAGTAATTCCATCAATGAATTATCTTGTTAATGAGTAGGTCAACAAATAATTTTTATGATTAATTTGTATTTATAAACATATGGTTTATGTATAAATGGCGAAGAACGGGAATCTGTGATTGTGGGGGAAAAAACATCTACCAGTCGGGTTTGAACACAGGGTCTTCTGTCTTCCCAATACTTAGTACTCGAGTGTGTGTGTAGCAAGTCATGAGTCAGTCATTCAAACCGGCAAAAATATATGTTCAATTTATCACTCACGAACCAATCATTATTTTTTGGTTCCTAGGCTTTCAAGCAAAGGAACCTTTAAGATACCCTTCGTAACATGTATGTTGCGCTGTTTTTTGCTCCGACCCATAGTTAATGTAGGGGCCCCCCCCCCAATCAAACAGAGCTCGTCGGGCAGTTGGACTAAAAAATAGGCCCATGCCAAGCCAACACGTGTTTGTCACAATGTCATTTCTGGCCATCCAGAGGGTCCTATTCTTTAAAAAATCTCATTTGGAAGGGGAACACCTTCACAAAATATTCCACAATCATCTCCGGCCCACGAGCTCTAGTCCCCGTCGGACAGCTTGGCCCCCAGAAAATACATCCTACAGCCATCACAGCTGCTACACCTTTTTATCATTGGCACTAAACAAGCAGAACAAAAAAATCTGATGCCAGGATTAATAAAATAATAATAATAATAATAATAATTTTGGCTTAAATAGCGCATTATGCTAAGGCCTTGATGTGCTTAATAATAGAAATGAAACTGCCTGGTTAACACTGGATAACACTTGAGGTCTCTGTGGTTTCGTTTGTTGCCATGTACATCGCAAATACATTAGTGCAATATTTCATGAATGCCCGCATAGGAACCTTGGCCCTCGCAGATTTAGATTAGTGTTTTATCAGCTTTATTATTTACAATATAAACACTACATACTGTAATCTATCATGAACAACCCCCTGGGTAGCACTACTTTTTTCGATTAGTGTTTCATCAGACTTTGATAATTTCAGTATACATATATATCGACAAATAGTACAATATATATACTAGGTTCCATCTTTCACAGGTGGTGCTTCACCAAATTCTCTTTCATCAAATCAGTAAGCATATAAGCAGTTGTGTACTTGTTAACTACATCCGTTGAGTTGCTAATCACTGTTTAAAAAATTAACACTATCTTTCAACTTTCAAAGTTCAAAGAATAACACAAGAAAACTATTTTCACATATACTTCATCGGTGGAGATCTCTCATTTTATTTACAGAAATTTATTAGAAAATGTACATAAGGAGGCCATAGTATATGTACAATACACACTTTTGGTTCTTACTGAAACCCCTTGCAGTGTGCACAATTTAACTGACTTTCTAGACGAAAATATAAAGAAAATGTGAAAGAATTCGACTGACCAATCAGCATCACTGCAAATTGTCGGCGATAGCGTGTAGCGATTGTATGGAAACAAGCTTTAACAATATTCGTTTGACACCAATAGAAAATACTGACCTAGCGAATCAATAGAAACCAGAAAGTAAAGAAAAAAGTTCTACTCATACGCAAATAAGTGTCCACTCATTGGGAAACAAGTCCTATTCCCAAAGGGAAGCCGATTCCACACATAAGGGTTGCCTTTTGTAAGGAAAAATGTGCCAGATGATAAAATGGTAAAAGATTCTATTACAGTAAAACTAAAAGTGTACAGTGGCATTGTATTTTAATATGCATTATGTGCACTTTCAGCAATTTAAACCATTTACAAAGATATTGCTTCAAAATTGGTCATTTGCTAACTCAGTAAGTATCTTTTCTTCCCCTTTGTAATTATGTGAAGCATAATTTTCAGAGTGCAGTCTACAGTATTTCCCTTCTCAAGAACACTTTAAAACAATAATGTAGAAATTGCATACACTGTCCTTGTCATTACGGCATGTACAATGGTAATGTTTGAATAACGAATAAATATTATTTGTCTCCATGGTAATGAAATTCTCAATAGATATCCATTTTTTTATTATCTCTGTAAACACAGTGTATTATATTGCATGTTTTTCTTGATCAAATTTTTGATAATACAATATAAATAACAATGCATAACATATTACTCAAGTTTACATATTTATGTTTTGCAAAATAGGCAAGATTTGTGCTCCATTGTGTAGCCTACAATATCAAGTGTATGCATTCCAGGAAAAAAATGCAATGTAGTGTATGTAATATGTGATCATTATGTGATAGTAAAGGGGCAGTTAACACAAGCCTGTGGCATTTAAACTGTCTCTTAACCATAAACAGTGTTATATAATGTTGAATAAATGAATTAATGAAAACCTATTAAAAGAAAAGAGATGAGAAACCACTGTATTTGAAATAAGATTATATAAAGACAGAATTAGAGTGTTTGTTTTTTTTTTCCTTTTCATAAATTCAGAATAATTTAAAATAATTACATTTACACAAATATGTAAGGTTTAAATTATCTTTAATAACAGTTTTAACATTTATTAAATTCTTATTTACAAAAAACACATTAAAATAAGATAATGTCAACAATATTCAAAATGTAGTAGGATTTATATCCTCATTTTTGAAGTAAATTTATTTGTTATAAAAAATTTTTAACATTTTGTTTTAAAGCAACAAAATAACTCTTTGGAAAGTATGATGCCTTTTGAGAAAATGAATAAATTATTGGATTTTGGGACTTCAGTTAAAAATATAGAATTTAGCTCTACACAAACCTTCAAAAAAATCAATAAATAACATCACATATCCATTAAATTTTACTCAATCTGATATTTTTCTTTCATTAGAATAATTCTAAAATTATATCTTTCCAGTAAAAATAAATTTTAATATCATATCGTATATACAAAATCATTTCTATTCTGACTAGACATAATAATATACACACTTTATGCAGGTTTTGAGT